CGTCACGCAGAAGACCCGGGTACAATGTGTGAAGCCCATTTGTGGTGTCAACCGCCGTGATATTGCTGATTCCATATCACCATCCTTCCTTAGGGGTCACGTGAGAGACGCGCATGCGCACTAGTCAGTAGCGAATGTGTTCCTAGTTGTCTTGACAAGTTTTTATAGAAGATTCTTCCAACATCGGATTATTTTCACAAACGGATATATATAGTGTGTTTGACGTCGTCTCTACATTGTTCACGGATTTCGGATGTGTATCCCAGCGTCACGGAGATAGCGGTGCTGGAACTTTCCTGTACGAAGGACAAAAATCCTAGTGGTACTGACAATACTTGAGGCTGACCAATATGGCGTCAGAGCAATGTCCCCTCGCAGAGGGAACAAGTCGGGAGAGAGAGAGCAGCAGCACCTCTCCCAATGACGATGCTCTAGCAAAAGTCCTTGCTGCGCAGCAGCAACAGGCAGAGTCCATCAAATTTTTGACGGAAACAATCATTCAAATTGGGGCGAAAAGAAAACAGGTTTCTTCCCCTGTCATAGAGGTCAGCGATCAACAAGCTTGGCCGAGGGGTCTTGGAAAGGGCGGGTCACTGAAGCGTAAAGCCAGTGCCGATGCCGACTTACTGCTGATAGTGATATGTCAGACGCAGAGGACAATGATCCTTTTGATGACATAGTTGACACTTTACAAAGTGATCATGAAGCAGAAAGTGAGAATGAAGTTGACGCAGTCATCTTCGAATTAAATCCTTATTTCAACAATGATGACAAATTTGGTCCTAAAGTGAACGAGGTTCTGGGAAGGACTATAAATGAAGGGCTGAGATCGCAGCTGAATCTCGAAGCACTGAATCAGACGAAGGATAAGTATCAGAAGCCAGAAAACTGCCCTAATCTGACTGTTCCGAGACACAGCAAAAATAACTTGGTTTCCGCAATGCGGAAACATGGTGGAAAGTGGACTGAAACTTAAGTTTCCACCTAGAATCCAGTGAGTTTCCGTTCTTTTACACTGAGTTTCCGCAATAACGGAAACTTACAATTACCCACTTTCTAAGGGTTTCCGCAAGGTTTCCGTTACCCAAACTCCAACAGGTTTCCACAAGGTATCCGTTACCGAGAGTGAACAATCAAGTGTGGAATCAGGTCAAACCACAAACCAGATCCATAGATTCCAAGCTACAAAATGTTCAAAGCCTCTTGGCTAAGGCTTTTTGTCCTATTCTGGAGCTTACTGATGAAGTTATGAATGCTTCTAGAGATAAGAAGCAACAGATCAGTTTAAAAACTTTGGCGAAGAAGTCTTGCGATTCTCTACGCCTCTTGTCAGCTGTGTTCGTAGAACTCACAAATCACAGGAAGGACACATTCAATCCGGAGCTCAAAGGAGCTTACAAACAGCTGTGTGCACATAACAATCCTGTTACTGACCAGCTTTTCGGCGATGATCTTGCAAAACAAATTAAGGACATTTCTGAAGCTCAAACCCTCTCTGCCAAATTAAGCGGTGGCGGAGACAGGCCAGTTCAGTTACCATGGAAACAAACCCCAGGTGGAAAGCCCAGTTACGTAAGACGTGACACTCACCAGCATCAGGGCCGGAACGACCGAGATCGGCGTTTTTTAGGTCAGAACCGCCGGAACAACTTCAAAAGGAGAGGCGGCTACCAACAACAGAAAAAGCAGTAGAGTGCACTCTATCTGCCCCAACTAAAGAGGTGAGAGATCTCTGTGACACCTTAACGCATACACCGGATAATTTTAAAGCTGGTAATACAGCTTCCTGTTGTTATCAGTGGCAAAAACTAACGTCTGATACATTTATTTTGGATACTGTCAGTGATGGCTATATAATTGAATTTGACCAGCTACCTTCACAAGATCAATCCCCAAGGCCGATTCAATTTAGTGAAAATGAAAACGTGGCTATTACCCAACAGGTTGTCCATATGACCATGATAGGTGTTATTCAACATGCAGAACCGTGTGCAGGTCAATGTATCTCAAACATTTTCAGCAGAGATAAAAAGGATGGAAGTATCCGTATTATTCTTGACCTTACAGTGCTAAATAAGAAAGTGGACAAAGTGAAATTTAAAATGGACACAATAAAAACAGCCATAAATTTAATGAAGCCAGATTGTTTCTTTGCTAGCGTGGATCTAAAAGACGCATATTACACGATCCCAGTGCACAAAGATTACAGGAAATTCATGAGGTTTTATTGGGACGGGCAGCTTTTTCAATTTACATGCTTGGCTAATGGGTTAACTTCTGCCCCAAGAATATTTACCAAAGTGTTGAAAGTTCCATTCGGAGAATTGCACAAACAAGGCCACACGATATCAGGATATATTGATGATAGCATTCTTGAAGGGGATACTTATTCTTTGTGTGAAGCAAAAATCACAGCTACAATTCAACTTTTTCATTCCCTTGGTTTTACTATACATCCTCGCAAGTCAAGCCTTGTTCCAATGCAGGTTATAACGTACCTCGGATATGTTCTGAATTCTCGAGATATGACAGTTAGTTTGACTGAGGAAAAAACGGGGAAAATCAAAAAATGCTGTGTGGAATTGACTAAAAAGAACACTGTCTCTATTAGAGAACTGGCCTCCTTGATTGGTAAATTCGTTGCCTCGGAACCAGGTATGAAGTTTGCTGTGCTGCATTATAAACGGTTGGAGATAGAAAAGAACACGTTATTGTCGCTGAACAAGGGCAATTTTAATGCAGTTGTGCAGGTTCCTGCTGTCTTTTTCTCGGAACTCAGCTGGTGGATACAAAACTTAGGTAACATGCCTAAACCCGTGTACACTCCCGACACATCATGGAGAGACAACACCAAAAGGGGTTACGTGCCCACCCTCCCTTACCCTCAACAATTGGTAAGATGAAACATTTTTGCTCAAGATTGACTAGTGCGCATGCGCGTCTCTCACGTAACCCCTAAGTCAGGAAGATGGTTCATGGAATTACACTCAAACTTCACCTTACAGGTAAGTCTCGTTTAATTGTATAATTATATTGCTAACAGCTGCGTAAAACTAAACTCACTCACACTAGTTCGTGATTGGGGTGCTGAGTCAACAAACTGATTGATTGACCACTGTTTTCACTCTGGCCCGCTAGGCTCTTTCCGCTACGTCGGACAGCAATGGCGTAGTGATATTACGCGTAGGCGATTTACCGCCAGATCCTAATGTAACACCATGCCCGTTGTAGGTAATGATTAAATCCATCGATTCTGCTCTTTCAGAAACAGATACTTAAGACTTCAACCATGTTATTGTTGACAAAAACATTTCTAAATTTGTATATTATTACTTAATTAAATGACGTGTACGTCAGATTTACTTTTGAACTAATCATCTGAACTAATAATGTGACGTCATAATGACTTCAATACGGCAATTTATATTCATAATTAATGTGACCCTTGAAGGTCCGGGTTAGAGTATTGATCTTCAGTAACCCATGTTTGTCGTAAGAGACGACTAAAGGGATCGAGTGGTCAGGCTCGCTGACTTGGTTGACACAGGTCATCGGTTCCCAGTTGCGCACATCGGTGCTCATGCTGTTGATCACTGGATTGTCTTATTAACGGACCGCCGCCGTATAGCTGGAATATTGCTGAGTGCGGCGTAAAAGTAAACTCACTCCCTCACTCATAATTAATGTGAATTATTTATTAGGGACAATGGCAAACGGAAACAATGAGAACAGTAATATTTGGATCATAACTCTCCGCAGATTCTGTTGTGCCAGGTGATAGGCATGGCGCTTGGCACTTGTTCAAATAATAAAAATAATAATAATGATAATCGACCACTTTTATAGCGCCATTTCAGGATGAATATCTGGTTCAAAGAGCTATTATTATCATTAAACCGGATAACCCAAGCTGCTTGTGAGGCGCTAGAAGGTTAATAGTCACATGACTTATCCCACCGGGTACCCATTTTCTGCTGGGTGAACAGAGGCAATTGTGAACTTACTTGCCTAAGGTGAGACCACATTTATCAAATATGGACTCCAGCTATTGCTAGCAAGGTTCCTATTGGATTATTGGACTCGTATGAAGAAATAATCATCACCAGAGTTATGATTCTTTGATGCAACCCCTTTCTATTTGAGACCGCCTCCGTGGTGTAGTGGTTAGAGCGTCCGCCCGGAGAACGGACGGTCCCAGGTTCGATTCCCGACCGCGTCATACCAAAAGACGTTAAAATATGGTACTTGTTGTCCCCTTCCTGGCGCTCGGCATTAATGGGTACAACAAGGACTGGTCGGCTCGGAGTCAGTATAATGTATCTGAGTGGGGTATTTATGCTTCACTGCGGCATGGTATCTCAGTGGGCTAGCACTATAAAACCAGCTGAAGCCTGGGCTAGTACAAGCAGCCGCACATACACTTACACACGCATGCACGTCGTCATATGAGCGAAATATTCTCAAGCACGACGTTAATCCCAATTTCACCTCCCCTCACCTCACCTTTCTATTTGATCTGGAGACACAGGTTGCCCAGCAATCTGAGGCACCTAGCTAGTGCAGAGTTGCGTCCCCTTGATATAACAGAAGCCCATGATCGTGCAACAATCTCTAACACTACAATCAGATCCATAGGTGTGCTCTAAGAGCATCAATGACTGAAACGATCTTCAGTTTTATACGTTAGTCTGTGGATGTACATGTGTATATCGATATGTCTGTGACTATACTACCCGTGAAGGTCCGGGTTAGAATATTGGCCTTCAGCAACCCATGCTTATCGTAAGAGGCGACTAACGGGATCGGGTGGTCAGGCTCGCTGACTAGGTTGACACATGTCATCGGTTCCCAATAGCGCAGATCGATGCTCATGCTGTTGATCACTGGATTGCCTGGTCCAGAGTCGGTTATTTACAGACCGCCGCCATATAGCTGGAATATTGCTGAGTGCGGCGTAAACCTAAACTCACTCCTCCCCCCCCCCCCCCTCTCTCACTCTCTCACACACACACACTACGGGTGGGAGTAGTTTGCACAATTAACGGCATGGTCATAGGTTTACTTCCAAATACAACATTCAGCAGGAACCGCTCTGCACCATCTTGAGTTTTCTGTGCATGCATCGTGCTTTTTTGGAACTCGCAACTGAAAGCATAAAAATTTATCAAATTAGGATTTCAGCACTTTGTCACAGGAGATCTGAAGAACCGAAATTTAACAAATGCTGTAATGTCAAATTCGACCCATTTATTTCTTTAATAAATGTGACTGACTGACTGATACTGAGTCACTGAAGGAATGACTGAAAGAATCTACTGCAGTGCTTGAACGTGTGAAATCAGTAAAAGCATTGCCTGTTTTGTGTTACATCGCAGAGGAATACCAAACAGAAAACGTTAGTAACCAATAAACTTACTAATTGCGGTAGGTAAACCCATCAGATCCACAGACTTGATTCAGTTCGGGCACGCAGTCCTCCCGAGACAGCTCGATGCATAAGAAATCTAGAACATTTTCTACTGATACTCCATTCGTTGAGGTCACGGGCATCAAGGTGGAGGTCACGGGTTGTTGTGTCGAGGTCACAGTGGCGGTTGTGGGTTCTTTGGTTTTGGGCATTGCTGTGGAGGCCGGCATCGTTTTGGTCATAGCGTCGGGCGTGGAGGTCACATGGACAGAGTGTTGGTTTTGGGTGGTGGTAGAGTCGCAGGCATGCCTCGCAGCCATGTGGATCTGATTATGCTTGGAAGCACATCTGACCCTCATGAAAGCACAACTGAAACATGCAAGATCAAGGACGTGTTATTTCTGAAGTTGGCTGTACCTGTGTTCGTATTCTGGAAAGGTCACTGATTTGAAACCACGAAAAAGATCTACATATACGGACGTGGCTTAGTGATCCGGACTGCCGGTTTTGAACGACTGCACGTCATGGTTTAACATGAATAGCAGTGGCAAAATCGATTCATGGTGCTTACTGCTAGAATAATGTTCCACCTCAAAGAACTCATTCTCTTCCCACAGAGGTTACTTGTCATATCTTCCTACGAACCTGTGTTCTAATACGTCCCTTTCATGGTGCGAGTGTTCAGGATTCGTGATTGGTTGCAATCAGATTTAGTTGTGCAATCAGCGACGTTGTTTCAAAAGTGATCATTCGCAAGGCCTCGGCTATTTCCGTATGCTTCGGGAAAACTAGAACCGCTTTCCTGCGCGATGCACAAACGTTTCTTATAGACAGAACTCAGTCATGTAAATGGCGGATCAATGGCGTCTCCATCGCCCTCGTTCACAACGGACAAGCTAGCCATTAAATGTCTTGCGTGTCACATCAACACAAGTTCCTGGCAGAGGAGTGATATTTGTGACCCAACATTTGCTTGTATTAGTCAAGTTGATGTAACACGTGTTCTGATTGGACAGAAAGAAGGGAGATAATTTGTGTTGCGATTTTTTGCCGCTAGGGGATTTTACGAGAACCGGGAAATATGACCGTATTAGAACAGAGGTTCGTAGGAAGAAATGACAAGTAACCTCTGTGGGAAGAGAATGCAAAGAACTCAGCTAACTAATATTCTGAAATAAGGCATATTTTACTTTGTCAGGTCGTTTAAGGGGCCACAATTCGATTTCCAAAGGATTGCCAAAAACTGGGTTCGAATCCCTGCTCGCCGTGATTGCTTTACATTTGTCAACACTCGCGGTGGGGTGGTCAGGCTTGCTGACTTGGTTGACACATGCGATCGTATCCCAATAGCATGGATCGTAATTGTGTTTGATCACTGGATTGTCTGGTCAAGACTCGATTATTTGCAGGCCGCTGCGTACAGCTGGAATATTACTGAGTGCGGCGATTAGCAACAAACAAAACAATTAAATACAAGAGTTGATACGACTCACTAGTCTTTATATGTAACCCCATCCGAGCCGCACACCTGAGTTATATGGGTGTAAAATGGGCAGTGATCATCATGGCTGTCTTTATGGTCGTAGTTATCACAGTCACCGAGATCCTTCAAGACATCGTTCAAGATAAAACTGCTTGCCCCTAAAACAAAGAGGTAAAAGCATAGCAGCATATTAATTGTTTGGGTTATTGACTGATTGACAAAATGGTCTAGTTAACACCTGGCATTAGCATTAGTTGATAGTGATTCATTAGACCCTGTAAGTGGCACGGTCTATATTGTAGAGCGCACGCTTTAGTGAGTAAGTAAGTTTAGTTTTACGCCGCTCTCAGCAATATTCCAGCTATATAGCGGCGGTCTGTAAATGATCGAGTCTGGACCAGACAGTCCGGTGATCAACAGCATGAGCACGGATCTACGCAATTGGGAACCGATCAGAACCAAGTCAGCTAGACTGACCCCCCCGATCCGGTTAGTCGCCTCTTACGACAAGCATAGGTAACTGAAGATCAATTCTATCACGGATCGTCACGGGTTGGGTGTGTCCCGCAGCATGTCGGATGCAGCGCATGTCAATTCCAGTCCAAAGCGACCCCAACACAACACACTGTCTCCGATGTCAGTCAGGATAACATTCCACTGCCTGAGGGGGGATTTGGGGTATATTGTCCTACAGCATATCAAAGAAAACTCTAGCTAGAAGCCACTTATTGGTGCCGGGTAGAGGAAACATTCTTACCGGATCACCTGGTGAGAGAGCTTCAAGATCAGAGCTTGCCTTCTGATTTTGATACCTCTGCTGTCTCTCCTTCTCTTCGTCAAGACAGAATGTGACATCTTTTCTGTCATATGATCGAGGTAGTAGTAGTTCTTTGGACACAGGTATTTTATTCCTGGGTCTTCTTCCAAAGGACAATTGAGCAGGTGAAAGCCCACATAACTCCAGCGGTGTTGAGCGATAATCAAGAAGAGCAAGCTGTTTCTCACTTGCTTTCTTCCAAAGTCTTTTGACTGTTTGAATGGCTCTCTCTAGGGGTAGTTAGGTGAAGATGTGATGTGCTAAATACTGTATTCTTCACAGAACTGACCAAATTCTCTGGAGGAGAATAGCGGTCCATTGTCAGACCTCAACTACTCAGGGATTCCGTGTCTGCATATCTGACTTTTCAGTGTCTCTATAGTTGTTTTGCAGCTCATATCTGGACGTCTGTCGACTTCTATGAATCTAGAAAAGTAGTCCACCGTTAGCGGGAAAGGCTTACCGTCAAAGTCAAAGATGTCGGATGCAATTTCACACCAAGGATATGCAGGGGTTTTGCTTGGCATCAAAGTCTCTGACTTTTGCTTGTTTTGAAACTCACTACACTTGACACAGTCTCTCATTAACTCTCTAATTTTACTGTCATTCCAGGCTAGAACAAGGCTTCTCGAGCTCTTTGCTTGCATTTGCTGATACCGAGGTGAGAAGCATGGATCTGCTTCAGCATATCAGCTCTCATACTGGGAGGAACAACGACCCGCATACCCTTGTACACGATACCATCTGATATTGAGAGTTCATCTCTCTGGTTCCAATACTCCCTCAGGCAATGGGGTACTTCATTCCTAGTGTCTGGCCAGCCTTTTCGAATGATTGAGTGAAGCTCATTCAACTCTTCAGCTGTGCATCTCTGGAATTGCTGATATCTGCTTGGTGCAACTGCAATGTAGTCCACCATGTTGACTAATATGGGCTGAGTTTCAACTTCCTGGTCAGGTAAGTTTGCACGGCTCAACATGTCTCCAACAGGAATTCACAGATACTGGGCGGCCAAATATATAGTAATGCAATTTTCTACAGCTGCAAACGAGAGCAAGCATTTCCTTTTCAATTTGGGCATATCGTTTTTCTGTATCTGTGAGAGGCCTTGACGGGAAACCTACAGGATGCCCATCTTGAAGGAGAACTGTTCCTACGGCATAACTACTGGCATCACACTGGATCACAACTGGTTTCTTGTTGTCAAATCTTGTCAGCACTGGAGTTGAACTGCAGTTCTTTGAGTTTCTGAAAGGATTTCTTTAGTGACTTTTCCCAAAAGAAGTCTACATCTTTCTTGATGATATCACGTAGTGGTGCGTCCACTTCGCTGAGATTTGGCAGGAACTTGGCCAAATACTGAGTCATTCCAAGAAAACGTCTCACGTCACCTTTGGACTCTGGAACTGGCATCTCAGTCAAAGCCCTCACTTTGCTTGGATCTACCTCCAAGCCGTTCTCTGTGACAATATGACCAGCATACTTCACTCTGGTCTGTTTCATCAGGCACGTTTCAAAGTTCAGCTTGAGATTAAAGTCTGTTGCTCACTTGATGACTTCTTTCATGAAACGTTCATGATCTGTGTCGGTTTTACCACAAAGTTTTCATCCATAATTTCTCTTGCTTCCAGCAACTCCACCCGGCATAGTGTCCATGATACGCTGAAATATTTCAGGTGCCGACTTAATTCCAAATGGCAATCTCAGCAAACGAAATATTCCAATAGGGCTGTTGAAGGTCGCCAGTAGACTAGACTCATAATCAAGACGAATTTGGAGAAAATCAGACTTTGCATCTAGAACAGAGAATATCCTGGCACCAGGAAATGAGGAGACTTGTCCCTCCACTGCGCGGATTGCCACATTCAAGTCTTTCAGGTCAAGGAATATCCTCACCTTGTTACCTTTGACAACTGTCTCCATTGAGCTAACCCAATCAGTCGGCTATGCCGCTCTGGCAATCTGTTCGTTTGCTTCCATTTCATGCAGCTTGGACGTTATCTTCTCCACCAAGGCCTTCGATTGGCGTCTTGGGCCATGTATTGCTGGAGGTACTGTCGGGTCCATCTTCAGGTGGCATGTGCCTGGAAGTGTACCTGTGGTTGACCTTAACTCTGGGTACTTGTCAATCTCTTGAGTGACAGCATGTGTTCTCTGGATCACACCTAGTTCTTCACATACATCTCCGGACAGCAATGGCTTCTCTTTCAGGTGAACGACGTAAAATTGAGCATTCACAGTTCTGCCCATGTAGGCTACAGGTAGGGTAACCATACCTTCAACTTCAAGGTCATGAAGTGTGTAACTTTTGAAGCATTCGACAGTCTTTGCTATTGGAAACTTCACTCCCATCTCAATGTATGTGTGGTACGGTAGGAGTGACTAGTTTGCTCCTGTGTCAATCCGAACACCCAGTGTCTTACCACAAACAGTAACACCTATCCACCATTTTTTCTGTCCTGGCGTCTCTACTACAAGCACAAGGTTTGAATATTCTAGTTCCACTGCTACATGCTACTGTGTCATCTTCATTGAGCTTAGTTTTGCACCTTTTAGCAAAGTGCCTAAACAACTTACATTTGGCACAGTGTGCAGTTTTGGCAGGACATTTCTTGTGTGTAGTTGGGTATCTACATCTACTACAAATGTCAGATTTAGACTGCTTATCAGGTTTCTTGGGTCTGTGTGTCCCAGATTTGTCATGTTTCCGAACATGTGACTGACATAAGTCATGACATTCTGTTTCTTCACAAACACCCGACTAACCTTGGGGTCTTCATCACCAATGGTTGCCATGCATACTCTGAAGTGAAGCTTCGTAATTTTGGCCAATCTCAATAGCAAGGGTAAGTTCATTACCTGTATCGAGACATTTCTCTCTGATTTGATCATGGTATGCTCTAAGAACAATAGCATCTCTGAGCATTCTATCAGGTTCTGCATGACCACAATCTTTGACCAAAAGCTTCAAATCTGTCACGAAATTGTCAAACCTCTCGTTCTGTTCCTGTCTTCGCCTGTTGAATATCACTGTTGACCTAATTTGGTTCTTTTTCGGCGCTACATAACTATCATATTTTCCGAAAACACCAGCTAAAGTTTCATTTTTAGCAGGATTTTCACTATCACGAGGGGCCCATGTAAATGTCTCATACACTTCCCGTCCTTTGTCACCAATGTAAGTCATTAAGTAAATTCACTTTTTTGCACTTGTGTTGTTCCAGATAGTGGACCGCTGAATGTAAACTGACAATGTTATTTGAAACGTTTCCATTCCCTTTCAAGATCAACAACACCCCAGTTCATATGACGTGTATTACTGTCTGGCGACAGGCACCTAATATACGTGAACATGCGGTCAGGCGTATTTTCGCTTCGTTTCATGAAATATTACAATGTCACTTCTCAACAATTTGCCGGAAATCTAGACTCTTCGTTCAGGTCACTAATGTTTAGTTTGACAGCGTGAAAAGCACTTCTGACACCGTGTGGCATATCGAACGACACGGCAAACAGTACCAGTCGATAAATTTATAAGATACATGCTAGTCGGTAACATTCATCACAGTAACCACAGTTTTCAGTTCTATACCTCAAGGCCCAAGTCAACTACAGGATGCCTCATTTAAATGTATTCTTTTCGCATTGGGGCGGCGACAACAGAAGCCATGCGTGATAGGTTAATTTGTTGTTTAATGGATACCACAATAGTTCATGTTTTAATGTGATTATAATCACACTATGTACTTTAATTACTTTATTGACGTTTAAAAGTTTTGTTTGATTCAACATATGAGAGCAAAACAAACGTCTACAGTCAGATTGCTCGGCGTTTATGGTGAACAACGATAATAATCGTGTTTTTTACTCAAACGAAATCTGAAATTCACAATGCCATTTAGAAAGTGGTCAAAAATAACATGTTATATGTGGGATTACACTTTCTTAGTATAGTACAGATTCTAGTACTTTTGTTGGGTTGAGTCCCATCCGGGATTCGAACCCGCACCCTCAGAGTCAGGCACCTAATCGCCAGCACACAAAGTCAGACGCCTAGACCGCATTCGTGACCAACTCGTGTTATTCCGGGACAAGCCGAAAAGCTTCTTGGAGGTTACGGAAAGGAGCGAGTGATGACGAATGGCCTAGACCGCTCAGCCACCGCGGATTCCACAAAAATGGAAGTCGGACAACCAAGTATGTCCAGAGTCGGTCAATTATGGAGAAGCTTTCTGTGAAACCACTGCATCCTGTGTACATGCAGTATGTGGAACAGAACTGTAATCCAACCGACCCCTTAGCCTGGATGAAGTCGGCTTGTCTTAAATGTTAAATTGAGGGCTTTCTTTTTGCTGTTCAGGACCAGTCACTTCCCAAAAGTTATTCGCCAAAATGTGATTCGTAAAAAAATATCAATATGAAATGTCGATTATGCAATGAATTTACAGAGACTGTCCAACACCTTGTCAGTGGATGTCCTTCCTTGGCACAAACAGCTTATCTTAAAAGACATGATAGCATGGCTCGCTGCTTTTACTACCGTCTCCGCCATGCCTGTGGCGTTTGACTCCGAGGTCCATCCATTGTACGACCCCGAACATGTCCAGGGCGTCATGGAAGATGAAGCTTTCAAACTTCATTGGAATAGGCCCATATACAGCCTTGATGATTTCCAGCCAACAAACCTGATCTTGTCCTTTTTGATAAAGCCAATGAAATTATTTATATCATTGAATTTTCTGTCCCTTTTGACAGCAATGTGATTGGCAAGATTCAGGAATAGCATGATAAATATGCAGACCTCGCCTTTGAAATGTCTCGCTTGCATCCCAAGTACACTGTCGTCAGGCTCCCCGGTGTTCTCGGTACCCTTGGTTTGGTACCTCCTGATCTCTTGGGGCAGATCAGGAGAGTACCCGGGTTCTCCAGCGGGAGTACAGCTCTTCTGACATTCTGGGTAATGCAAAAGGCTGCAGTGTTGGGGAGTCTACATATTCTCCGGAAGGTTCTTGGTGGGTTCGACAAGGCAACGTTTCCTGGGAATGTCCCATTCGCTGTCGGGTCTGCGTGTAGAGGGAGTAAGGGCCCTGAGCTGATGATGAGCCTTACCAGCCTGACTGTGCCACTCACACACATTATACTGACTCCGAGCCGACAAGTCCTTGTTGTACCCATTAATTCCGAGCGCAAAGCAGGCACCAACTAGTACCATGTTTTAACGTCTTTTGGTATGAAGCGGTCGGGGATCGAACCCGCGACCTTTCGCTCTCGGGGCGGACGTTCTAACCACCACACCACGGAGGCGGTCCGGTAATGCAGAAGACTGCACTGGTGGGGTGTCTACATATTCTCCGGAAAGTTCTTGGTGGGTTCAACTAGGCAGCGCTTCCTGGGAGACGTCCCATTCGCTGTCTGGGCTGCGTGTAGAGGGGGCGGGGGCCCTGAGCTGATGATGAGCCTTACCAGCTTGGCTGTGCCAGGATCACCCTAACCCTCTCTGTTGTATTTTCATCTTAATCTGTAAAACTTGCAATTGATTCCTTGCTGGCGAAGTTAATGATTGTGAACGGAAAAAATAGAAATGGGGCAAGTAAAATTATTTCAGCGGACAAAATACACAGTTCAAACACCACCGAAGAAAAACAGTACAAACGCTATTGATTCCAGTGAAATTGTTTTTGAAACAGTCGGGTTCAATACCCTGAAACTGCAACTGCAACCTGAAACCATTGGCAGAGCAGTGAGAGAGTGAGTATGGTTTCACGCCTCTTTTATCAATATTCCAGAAACATCACGGCGGGAGACACCAGAAACGGGCTTCACACATTTTACCCATGTGAGGAATGGATCGAAAGCTTTAACAACTAGGCTGCTCCACAGCCCCCATGGGCAGAGCGGATGGAACCAGGCGTAAATAGTACTGAATACACAATGCCATTTAGAAAGTGGCCAAAAGTTACACGTTATATTAGAATTACACTTTCACAGTAGAGTACAGATTCAAGTACTTATGTTGGGTTCACTCCCATCCGGAATTTGAACCCACACTCTCAAAGTCAGGCACCTAATCGCCAGCACACAAAGTCAGCCATCTAACCCACTCAGCCATTGGTGTAGCAATCCCAAATATAACATGTGGTACATAGTACCATATACGTCTTGATTTAAACCTGGCTTCCAGTTGTCCATTGCCAATCAGCGCCAGTTCACTATTGACTTCCCTTGTTACAGTACAACCAGAAATTTTTGAGAATTTACAGACTGTAATTTTCACAAAACTCAATGCCATACCCATTTGCAATATTTTTCAAAACACGATAAACAGTGGACAAAAGGATGACTGTTCTACTTGAAATCACTTAAGCTGATCTGATGTCCTTGTTATAATACTCTAAAATCAACTTCCTCTTCTCTAACTCATCCATACTGAGGATCACTAAAAATGTCGTCTGCTTGCAAGTAAACAAAGGGGGATAACTCTTCACAAACAAATGAAAAAGGATTAACGGAGTTGTCTCTCTTGAATGAAACCAAGCACTTGATAGCTGGTCAAGGTTGTTTATACTAGAAATCCAATTAAACATATTCTCAATAATTTCTGGTCATACCATACCTGTCTACATTTCTTATCTTATCACTTTTGTCTTCACATGTGAATACATAGTTATCTGCTTCCAAGCTTTCATTTGTTAGATAAAGGTAAAAATATTCCTAAAACTACAGAAGTTGCCAATCCCTTTTTATGTAGCATTTTAAAACATTCAAAGGGTTCATAAGGACCTGTTTATGAAGAGCTCATATGCATCTGTCTGTGAATCACTGTCAAATAGCAATGAGACTGAGCGTTCGCGAAAACGTGAGCGTATCCTCACATATCTCACATGTGACACTGTTACAAAAACGTGGACAGGCAAGTCAATTATTCCTTGCGAAACGGGAACATATGGTATCAAAATAGTGATCTGCGTCGATATCAGCTTGTTTTCTCGACAAAACCGACAGATTCCTTACAAACGTTCATAGAATATATTATTGTATGGAAATTAACGTGAACACACGTGACACGTAGAGATGATGTAAATAAAAGGATAACATTAAGTCATCATGATACTTACATGACACGGCACAAAGGAAGATGAGTCCACGAAACATAGTGGACGGGCTGCTTAAAGCTTGAGCTGTCGACTGTTGAGTGTTGGCCAACCCTGATCTTTTATCTAAGCTTAGAGTAGGGTGCGTTATCGTCCATACTAAGATCTAGAAAAGAAAAGTATGTCAACAGGTTTAGTTTACAGATTCAATAAGTAAGTAATTTAAAGTTAATTTAATCTCAGGTATGAATATGACTATGTCAGAATGACGGAAATAGTTAATTGATTTACCTTTGAAATCACGGATGTATTTGATCAATACCATGTGTTACCAATACAATCCAAACAATGGTATTTCGAGAGTGAATCGAGTTATAGAGGGGGGTGTTTAATTAGAAAATTTCTAACGTGACACAATTCGTTGTTTGCGTGGCATTTTAGGTTCAGATAAGATAAGATTTCAATAACATGTAGACCTAAGTTCAGCACAGCGAATTTAATAGTTCATAAGGTATTTCATTGTAAAGAGAGATCCCATGCTGTTGAAAACAATAAACCTGGTAATACTCAAAAATTGGACAAAATCTTTGAAACGAATATAAACTCTTCAAAAAAAAGAAGAAACGTACAGGCCCAAAATAAGGAAATGTATAAGAAATGTCGATTAAGCTTGAACACAGATGACGGTCCGACACACGGATGAACATATGTGTTGTTGTGCCAGCATTAATTCAGTTCATTCACTGTACATGAAGAGCCACCTCCTTGTGTCGGTGCTTAACGCTTGTACAACCTGTTTAGTCGACGGTGGAGGAAAGTCTGGTGGTTGAGGGCACTGGTTCCAGGTACAGATGAACTTCGGCCCATAGACGGGTGGTAGAATGTTCTATCAATCGGGTGGTCATGTCGAGCCCTGCGCATTCTTTATATTTGCACAAGTTCTACTTTGAACTGTATTTATTTACTATAGGTCTCGGCTCTTTTTGTCTTTAATGCATTACTTGATTTTGACATATGACGTATCTACTTTGCCTAGAGTCTTACGCCCAGAAGGCGGTGGCTCATGGGCCAATCTTCTCAAGATTCCGCTTGAGTATACGCTCCTAGTATCCTTGGTGCCGTCTGCAGGAGACCCACGGACATGAGGCATGGTCCTTGTTGACACTCCGTGGTGGGTGGGGAGCTAGGAGGGTGCATCCTATTCCATACAAACATGGCATCCCCACTTAAAAAACGATCTCATTAATCGGATGATTCGTGTTCTTCGGAGGATGAGGCTTCTGTAGTCCTTACAAACCCTGACAACTGGCCTCGTTTTATTGTTATGTCAGCACCGGATGGTGGCGCATTGAAATTCAATCCTTTTGCTTTAGCGAAAGGCATTGAAGGTTTGGCATGTGATGTTAAGGAAATTAAAAAACTGCGATCTGGCTCACTGCTAATTGAGTGTCGGAAACTGATACAGTCTCAGATTTTGCTCTCACTCATTAGCTTATGTTCCTGTGGAGGTGTCCCCTCACAGGACACTGAACAGCAGTAAAGGCATTGTCCGTGATATTGGACGGTGCCTTTCGGACATGAAGGAGCATAACATTGTCGCAGAACTACATTCTCAAGGCGTTACTCATGTTAAACGCTTCACTGCGAAAAAGAACAACGAAACCTTCAACCGTTGGCATTTTGCTTACATGAAACTTATCCAAACCAGACTGATAAATTTGACCTACGTCAGTTTAATGCGTATCACTATTTTTCTCCTCCTGGTGATAGAGCGTCTGGTGGATCATCTATCCTGGTGAGGAACAATGTTATCCATAGCCCAGTTCCGCTTAAAACAAATCTCCAAGTCGTTGCGATTCGGCTTACATTACAGATTGCTTTTACGTTGTGCTCTTTGTACATCCCGCCTTAATCAGGTGTTCAACTGACTGATCTGCAAACTCTCTATGATCAACTACCTAAACCCTGTTTAATCATGGGGGATTCAAATTGCCACAACCCACTCTGGGGTGGTACTAATACAAACACCAAAGGTAAATTACTGGAGGATTTCATTTCAAATAATGACTTATGCATTTATAATGACGGTGCAAATACTTATTTACATCCTGGCACAGGAACATACTCAGCTCTTGACTTCTGTATTACGGACTCTTACCTGTTGAGGAATTCAAATGGTCTGTCCACGACGACCTTTGTGGAAGTGATCATTTCCCAACAATACTAAAACCCGTGAATCCATCTGACGTTCCTCCATCATCAAGATGGAATTTTAAAAGGCTAACTGGCCTTTATATGAAATTCTCTGTGCTGACAAACTCAAACCTGAACTGTTTAATGATATTCCTGATGCCATAAATTGTTTTTTTAACTACATAACATAGCTGACGAGTGTATCTCCAAATCCTCTTCAATTCCTCACATACGAAAACCATGGTTTACAGATGATTGCAAACAGGCTAGGAAGGCACGGAAGAAAGCTGAACATTACTTCCGTCGCCACCCTATGGTCCACAATTTGGACATATTTATAATTATAAACGCTAAAGCACGGCGTACTTTTAAGCAAAGTAAACGCCAGTCTTGGCGAAACTATGTCTCAAAAATCAATTCGCGCACGCAGATATAAAAGGTGTGGAATATGATCCAGAAAATCAAAGGTAAGGGGTCTAAATCTAGCATTCAGCATCGGAAAGATGGGAACCATTTATTAACCAATAAATCTGATATTGCAAATAAGTTTGGTTGGCCAAACATTCTTCCTCATCTAATTATGTACCTGAATTCCCGAAATATCAAAAACAGCAAGAAAAGAAATCTAATAATTTCAATTAAGATAACGGGGAAGACTACAATGAAACCTTTTCGATACATGACCTTCATACTGCTCTTGATCAGGATCACGATACTGCTTCAGGAGCTGATAACATACATTATCAACTCCTGAAGCACTTACCTGAATCATGTTTAGAGACGCTTCTACATATTTTTGATGACATTTGGACATCTGGAAAATTTCCTTCCTCTTGGCGTGATGCTATTATTGTTCCCATACCAAAACCTCGACGTGATCATACTGATCCCTCTAATTATAGACCAATTTCACTGACTAGCTGCGTTTGCAAAACCATGGAACGTATGATCAATAATCGACTTGTTTGGTACTTGGAAACCAATAATCTTATCACTAATATACAACGTGGTTTCCGTAAAAACCGTAGTACCATCGATCATTTAGTGCGTTTAGAATCTTTTGTGAAAAATGCCATAATTAATAAACAACATGCAGTGTCGATCTTTTTCGATTACATCGATATAGAAAAAGCATACGACACGACATGGAAACATGGGATTTTAAAAGATTTACATGACGTTGGACTACGAGGCCGTTCGCCTCAGTTTATATCCAACTTTTTAAATGACAGGCAATTGCAAGTCCGTGTGGGTTCAACCCTGCCTGACCATTACAATCAGGATCAGGGTGTCCCACAAGGCAGTATTTTATCTGTCACACTATTTAGTATCAAGATCAACAGTTTATTACAACTCAGCTGATATTCAAGACAATAAAGCCGAGGTAAACAAGTTGAAGTCGGATATGGCCGAGATGAAGTGTCACTTCGAAAATAAGCTCCTGGAACAAGTACTGTACCATCGTAAGTGCAACTTACTTGTTTATGGTATCCCAGACACGCGAGACCCTCTGGAGGGCTGCATTGAATTGTTCGAAGATCTCGGTATAAACAATCCTGGATGCATTGACCTGGTTAATATCCACAGACTACCCCGTCATAGTACTAACCCGAGAACTGTGAATATGCCCAAACCAATTATTGTAAAGTTTGTCAAGATGTCTGACAGGCAGGACATATTAAATGCTACATTCTCCAAGGGAAAACTATTGAGAGAAAGAAAGGTCTCAATTCGTACTGACCTTCCCGTGGCACTGAAAAAATACAGAGGAAAACTAGCCGCAAAAGCTTATGAGCTCCGTCAAACTCGCAAGCTACAGACAAGGATTCTTGAGAGGGGAATTGACATCAGCCTGCAATACCGACAAAGTAGACAATTTGCCTGGAAAGATGTCGGACTGGACGATGAGCTGTGAATACACTGAATGACAACCTCTAAAGCGAATAGTATGTGCACATTCATACGTAACCAAGACATCTCAACTGAACGGGAGAATCATGAATTTGGACACAACACCCACGTGTCAATGTTTACAAACCATACTATTTTTAGAGCTGTCATATGTATCCACGTGACCGTGTCTATTTCTGTGTCACTTGCGAACTTGAAAAAACAAAACAATCCCAGGTAAAAAGTCATTTTCGTGATCTACTTTAAAACACTTTAAAATTGGGTATGTTTATATGGTTTTGACCTTTCAACTTTGTGTAGAAAGTTGTCATAGACAGACACATTAAGTTTGTATATTTGTCTATGATGAAAGCGAAAGATGCATAATGTTATGTTTGTTCAGTTTTCGTTCAGCAGGTGTCACATGTTTATTACTGAGAATAAGATGACCAGTTTGACTACCTCGATACCGGTATTCCCCTAGATCGTTAATGGGCGGATAAACTGTAAGTTTGGTAGATTTAATATTTATCAAACGATACATTTGTATATATTTTTCTTGTTTAGCTTCCACTTCAATGTTATTTGTTGGAAGTCATCTTAAAAGGTACAGTTACATTACTTTCCTCAGACCTCTTGGCCTGCTATTCATTATTTTCAGTATTTGTATACTTTGATGCCTCGCCCTCCTGTCTATCCTATGGCTGAAAAGCTGAAGATATTATCCCTCAACTGCAGAGGTCTCAAAAATAATATGAAAAGAAAAAAAGTATTTAATTTCCTGAAAAAGAAAAAGGCTAATATTTATTGTTTACAAGATTTACACTTTACAGCTGAAGATATTCAACACATAAAACAACAATGGGGTTATAATGAATGCTACTTAAGTCCCTTCACAAACAATTCCAGGGGAACATCTATCATGTTCAACAATAATTTTGAATTCAAAGTTCTAAATACTATTATAGATGACAATGGAAATTTTGTTGCTCTTTCTGTTAATATTGATGAATTTAAATATACAATTATTAGTATCTATGGACCTAATCATGATTGTCCAGACTATTTTCAAAATATTATAGATGCTACTGAAAAGTTTGAAAATGAAAAAATAATAGTATGTGGAGACTGGAATCTAGTACAAGATCAATCAACAGACTCATACAACTACAAACACATTAACAATCCCAAGGCTAGACAAAAGGTATTAGACCTAATGGAAGATCTGGATCTTAAAGACCCTTGGTGTGAACAAAGGTTTGGTGAAAGGAGATATATACATGGCGACAGCCAACCCCTTTGAAACAAGCTAGGCTTGACTTCTTTTTAATCTCTCATTCAATGCTATCATCCATTAAACACTGTGATATATCACCTAGTTTAGGATCTGATCACTCCCTCATATAGTTATCACTCACACTTTCAAATATGCCTCGTGGTCGAGGTTTCTGGAAATTTAATAATTCCTTACTGCATGAAAGAAAATATGTGGAAATTATTAAATCCAATAAAATCTACACTTGATCACTACAAAATCAATGATGAAAATACGGACAATGATTTAACATATTCTATTGATGATCAATTACTATGGGAAACACTACTATTAATGATTAGAGGGAAGACAATTTATTATGCCTCAACTCAAAAGAAAATTATGTTGCATACAGAAAACAAGTTGGAATCAGAATTAGCCTCCCTGGAAATCAGACTAGATAAATCAGACACAGACATAACAGAAAGTGATATACTAAAAGAAATTAACGAAATCAGGACTAATCTAGATGACATTAATGAAAAGAAAATACAAGGGATGCTAGTCAGATCAAAGGCTAAATGGATAGAACAGGGCGAAAAACCAACAAAATACTTTTTGAAGCTTGAAGCCAGAAATTCTGTAAATAAATCCTTTGTAGAATTAGATAAAGGTGATGGAACAGTCCTAAATGACCTTGGCACTCTGTCAAAAGAGGTAAAATCTTTTTATGAAAAATTATATACACAACAAGATGTAAGTCCTATAGATCGAGATGAACTTTTAAAAGATATTACCATACCAAAACTAAG